CATCTCCGAGCAAAAGCCACGGCCCGCAGAGAGCTTTCAAAGCATCAGAGAGATCTCATTGTTGAAAGACAAGTCAGGAGACGGGTACAGAAGAATTTCCAAAGCATTAGATATACCATGGAACACAGTGAAGACAGTCATCATCAAGTGGAGAAAATATGGGACAACTGACATTACCAAAAAGTGGACGTCCCTCCAAAATTGATGAAAAGACAAAAAGAAAAGTGGTCAGGGAGGTTAGGCCAACAGCAACATTAGAGGAAATGCAGAAACTTGTGGCAAGTACTGGCTATGTGGTACATGTGACAACTATCTCTCATATTCTTCATATGAATGGGCTATGGGGTAGGGTGGCAAGACGGAAGCCTTTTCTTACAAAGAAAAAACATCCAAGCACGGCTGCAGTTTGCAAAAACAAACATCAAGTCCCCCAAAAGCATGTGGGAAAATGTGTTATGGTCTGATGAAACCAAGGTAAAACATTTTGGCCTTAATTCCAAAAGGTATGTTTGGCACAAAAACAACACTGCACATCACCCAAGGAACAGCAAACCCACAGTGAAGCATGGTGGTGGCAGCATCATGCTTTGGGGATGTTTTTCTTCAGCTGGAACCGGAGTCAGGGTGGAGGGAATTATGAACAGTTCCAAATACCAGGCAGTTTTGGCACAAAACCTTCAGGCATCAGTTAGAAAGCTGAAGAGGAAGTTCACCTTTCAGCACGACAACGACCCAAAGCACACATCCAAATCCACAAAAGCATGGCTTCACCAGAAGAAGATGAATGTTTTGGAACGGCCCAGCCAGAGTCCAGACCTGAATCCAACTGAACATCTGTGGGGTGATCTGAAGAGGGCTGTGCACAGGCGATGTCCTCGCAATCTGACAGATTTGGAGCGCTTTTGAAAAGAAGAGCACGTCAAGATGTGCCATGCTAATAGACTCCTACCCAAAAAGACTGACTGCTGTAATAAAATCAAAAGGTGCTTCAACAAAGTATTAGTCCAAGGGTGTGCACACCTATTACAGGTTATTTGAGGGTTTTTATTTTTCATTTTTCCCCCCTCAGAGATTTAAATTTGTTTTTCTATTGAATTGTTCACATTACAGGTAGAAAAAGTTCTGACATGATTTATCTTTGTCTCATTATTTTACATCATAAGAACCTGGCATTTTAACAGGGGTGCGTAGACTTTTTCTATCCACTGAACTATATTTCTTTTAGGAATAGTGTAATAATAATAGAGTCATCAAATCAAAGCTCCTTTACTTTAAACTATTCATATACAAACTCATGTTGTGCAGCCAAACACAAAGAAAAATCCACAGAAACTGATTTAAGATTCCATTCAAGATCCCAAAGTTTCCAAAGATGCCAAATATGTCAGGATGAACTTTGGGGAAATGTGAACAAAAAGCATCTACAATATTTCTCTTAGGAATAGTGGAGTCATCAAATCAAAGCTTTTTCACTTTAAACTATCCAGTCAGTATAAGCATCATATAGCTTCATAACAATGTTTCAAAAAGCAAATACTGAATCTATTTGTTATTGTCTGATAGTTGAAATAGAGATTATTTATTTCTTCAATTCATGAATTCATGTAGTTTTATTATCATTTCTTTAAAAACATGATGTGGAATAGAAGCTGAAATTCAGGAGTTTAAGAAGGTCAGAGTGAATTATCCAGTGGAGATATTTCTTGGTATATTAAGCTTTTAAATGCGGAGCTCAACATTGCTCTGCCACAGTCAATGGACTAAACCACTGAAGCAAAGAGACTTTAGCATTAAGATCCTCTGTGTGGATCAGTATAATATCAGCCTTACATCTGCACTTTAGTGTCACCACAACTTTCACATCATATTAATCTCAGCACAGAAGGAAAAAATGGTGTCTGACCTCAGAGTCTCCAGTCTGCAGTGTGGACTCTCCAGAAAACCACACAGCAGCTTCACTCCTGAATCCTGCAGCTTGTTTCCTCTCAGGTCCAGCTCTCTCAGATGGGAGGGGTTGGACTTCAGAGCTGAGGCCAGAGAAGCACAGCTGATCACTGACAACCTGCACCAACTCAATCTGAAAAAAGAATAAATGATGGAGATAAAAATCCATTTCTAATCCAATCAGATGTGTTCAGGTTTTAAATGTGGAGCTCAACATTACTATGTCCTAATCAATGAGCTTTTCCCTAAAATGAGTAGAGGGTCTTTGTCATTGTGTTATTGTGGATCATCATAATGTCAGCCTTCTACAGACATCATCCAAATGTCAGCACAACATTCAAACACCTATTCATGTCAACACAGATCAATAACATGCTGCTGATCTCAGGCCAGTCTGGAATAATGATCAAACATCAAATCATAACAATCATGTGTCACTTGATGAAAAATACTAAGACAGATGTTTTCTATAGAATTCCAAAATGGCCGATATGAAATAAAAATACTTTATGAAATGAATATGAATTGAAGTAAATCCAAAACCTGGCAGAGCTCTTTACCACCTGTCCCAGCACTTCTGATGCTCATTTCAAAGCACAGATTTAGACTCTCCTCATCACCACTGTCATCTCCATCAACACACAGCTGACTGACTGTGAGCTTCATCCTCAGTCGTCTTTAGAACTGGATCAACATGAATCCACTTTGAGTTCAGACTAAATTTGGAGCCAAACTCTTCAGACTGACAAACTTTTAAAAAGATTTGTGCTGGATTTAAATTTGGTAGATATACACAGAACAAGAGCAGAATACATGAACTGACCTCAGAGTCTCCAGTCTACAGTTTGGACTCTCCAGTCCAGCAGACAGCAGCTTCACTCCTGAATCCTCCAGGTTGTAGTTTCCACTCAGGTCCAGCTCTCTCAGATGGGAGGGGTTGGACTTCAGAGCTGAGGCCACAACTTCACAGTGAGTCTCTGAGAGTCCACAGTCACAAAGTCTGTGATGACAGAGAATATAAAACTTAAAATATAATAAAATCTGACTCTTAATTCTAAAAATAGACTGTGCATTTTACATCACAAAGCACACTAACATGAGAGGCTGCAGCTCAGCTGCTCAGCTGCTCCTGTCCACATGTCCAAGTGTCCTTGGGCAACATAATGTACCACATTATTACTGCTTTGGACAAAAGTGTCTGCCAAATGACTGTAATGTGAACATGTCCTATTGTGATTAACAGGGTGCTGTGATTTGTGTTTGTTAAACTTTAACGTGATGTTCACGGAGCTGTAAAATCACTGCAGGTTGGAACTGCACTCGTATGGATTTACCTCAGTCATGTGCTTGTGTTTATTTTTGTACCCTTGATGCATCTTATGTCACTCCATCTGCTTTTCATCTGCCATTAAATTCATTTAATGACTCCTGTTGCATTGATAGTATAATTAGTACTAAAGACTGTATTATTACCATTTTATTGGTAATAGTTTTTCTCAAGTGGAGTTCAGCTGTTTAACATTTCTTCTCTGAGCTTGGTGATGATAAAATCCCTCCTCTGAACTGAAGCTGCTGAGCTCTCCTTCACTGGCAGAATGAACCTGGAGGCCGTCCCAGCAGCTGACTGTGTAATGAGCTGCTGTCTGAGGAAACCAGCTGCTAAATACACAAAGTCTGTGGCTGCAAATTCAAAGAAAGCCACAGTGGAAATGTGTGTGTTACAGATACCTCCCTGCAGCACCCAGAAACTGTTGGATTTGTTCTGAAATACAGGAAAGAATGATGAGACAGGGAGACGTGGCCTGTCGCTGCTGAAATCTCCTCATTTAGGAGGAAAACCAGTGGAGCATGCGCTCTTGATTACAGTCCCTGGGTAAACCACAGTCTCACAGCGCCACCTACTGTCCACAAACTGCTGCAGCAGATTTAACATTTTGGTTTCCAAACCACATTACTCATAGAAACAGCAAAGAAAGTCCTTTTCAAAAGAGGAAACATACAGATATAATCTCAAATTATCAAACACCATCAAATCTAATAATTACATTCACACAGATGTGCTCACACTCTAGTGGGCATCACATGTGCTGCTGTTTTCTCTGCATATCTTGCCTTTAGTGTTTCTGCTGTGAAATGGTGCAGAAAGGAAACACATTGTCTGACAGTTTGTGTTTGCAAACTGATATTATTTCTCACATTAAGTTTTAAAAACGCTCTCTATTAGTGAACATTACTGAAGTAGCTTTGGAATTTACCAGTTTACAGACCAGTCCTTTCAAATCCTACCAGAGAGAGAGCTTCCTTACTGTTTCTAAATCAAACTCATTTCTAATGCAGCAAAACACATGAAGAGACATTCATTGTTGGAACTAAACAATGTAAAGTGGCATCTTTTATTTAATGAGGATGGAGAGGGGGATGTTCTGTTCGCTCTTCAAGAGGGAGGATGGCCTCCCCTCACATCCTCTTAAATCAAACAATAATCAGAGATATTGTATAAAGTGTGAAAATGGACAGAACAGTCCTTCATATGAAACAGCTCCCAAACTGCAGAGAAAAACTAGAAGAGCAATAACTGCATGAAAGCTTCAAGTGCCGTTAGCTCCAGCAGATCACAGATACGACATGTCTGTGTGTCTGTATAGAAGAAGAACAAGAAACAGACACAGTATAGAAACAGAGTGCAGACACTGGATCAGTGGAAAAATAAAAAGACTGCTGGGATAAAATGATGACTGTCAAAACATTTTCAGCACAAACTCTTAATCCTCAAGTTTTCCTGCTGGATTTGTATCAAGCCTCCATCACCCAAAGAAAGATAGAAGATGATAGAAGATACTTGTGTCACTAACTTGATGGATAGAAACACAGAAATGATGTTTGGAGACATTTGGAGTTTAACACATGTAGAATTATTTCAATAAGCAGCTTTAATACTAGTTTAGGAAACTTTTATAGTGTGGAGGTTTTATATTGAGCGAGTGTGTAAAGTGTGGATCTTTACTGTAATACTGATGCTTCAGCTTTACAGTGTTGATAATCACATCTGGACTTACCGAGCCTTTCTGCAGTTCCTCACAGCTGGAATCAGTCTCCGTCGTCCCTCCTCTGATGTGTTGTACTTCTTCAGGTCCAACTCATCCAGAACCTCCTCTGACATCTGCAGCATGTAGGCCAGAGCTGAGCAGTGGAACACAGAGAGTTCCTTCTCTGATCTGTTCTCTGACTTCAAGAACTCTTGGATCTCCTGATGTACTGAGTGGTCGTTCATCTCCGTCAGACAGTGGAAGATGTTGATGCTTCTGTCAGGAGAGATCCAGTTCATGTACATGTTCATCTCCTTCAGGTTGTTGATGGCTCTCTGGATGATTTCTGGACCGTTGTCTGTCCGACCCAGCAGGCCTCCTAAGAGTCTCTGGTTGGACTCCAGAGAGAGGCCATGAAGGAAGCGAACAAACAGGTCCAGGTGGCCATTTTTACTTTGGAGAGATTTCTCCATGGAACTCCTCAGGAAGACATCCAGGGACGGGTAAATTTCTTTCTGTATGGTTCCATTCACGAAGACAGCCAGGGACGGGCTACGTCTGTCATTGATTCCAAAGTAATTGTTTTTGTATGTCCAGTCTTTCCTCAGGAAGTCCTCCAGTCTCTCTGTGTTTCTGCTGGTGTAACAGTGGAACATGTAGACTGCAGCCAGAAACTCCTGAACGCTCAGATGAACAAAGCAGTAGACTGTTTTCTGGAAGATCACACTCTCTCTTTTGAAGATCTCTGTACAAACTCCTGAGTACACCGAGGCCTCTGTGACATCAAGACCACACTGCTCCAGGTCTTCTTGGTAGAACATGATGTTTCCTTTCTCCAGCTGTTCAAACGCCAGCCTCCCCAGCTTCAGAAGAACCTCCCTGTCAGCCTCCGTCAGCTCCTGTGGACTCGTCTCATGTCCCTCATCGTACTTCTGCTTCTTCCTCTTTATCTGAACCAGCAGGAAGTGTGAGTACAGGTCAGTCAGGGTCTTGGGCAGCTCTCCTCTCTGGTCTGTAGTCAACATGTGCTCCAGAACTGTAGCAGTGATCCAGCAGAAGACTGGGATTAGACACATGATGTAGAGGCTCCTGGAGGTCTTGATGTGTGAGATGATTCTGCTGGACAGCTCTTCATCACTGACTCTCCTCCTGAAGTACTCCTCCTTCTGGGCGTCAGTGAAGCCTCGTACTTCTGTTACCCTGCCGACACATGAAGGAGGGATCTGATTGGCCGCCGCAGGTCGGGAAGTTATCCAGACGAGAGCCGAGGGAAGCAGATTCCCCTCGATGAGGTTTGTCAGCAGCAGGTTGACTGATGACTTCTGTGTGACATCAGACACAACCTCACTGTTGTGGAAATCCAATGAAAGTCTGCTTTCATCCAGGCCGTCAAAGATGAACAACAGTTTCCAGACGGCGAGCTTCTCTGCTGGGACCTTCTGTAATGTTGGATGGAAAACATGGAGCAGCGTGAGGAGACTGTGCCGCTCATCTTTGATCAAGTTCAGCTCCCTGAACGAGAGCAGAACCAGCAGACCGACATCTTGGTTTTCCGAGCCCTCTGCCCAGTCCAGAGTGAACTTCTGCACCGAGAAGGTTTTTCCAACGCCAGCGACGCCGTTGGTCAGAACCACTCTGATGGCTCTCTGTTGGCCAGGTAAGGCTTTAAAGATGTCCTGGCACCTGATTGGAGTGTCATGGAGGGTCTTCTTCTTGGAAGCGGTCTCAAGCTGCCTCACCTCATGCTGGGTATTAACCTCTTCACTCTGTCCCTCTGTGATGTAGAGCTCAGTGTAGATCCTGTTGAGGAGGGTTCCACTTCCTGTTTCATCACTTCCTTCAGTCACACGTTCACATCTCCTCCTCAGACTGATCTTATGTTCATCTAAAACCTCCTGCAGACTGCCATCCACTGTCACAGAAGAAAGAATCATTAGTAGGAATTATTCATTAGTACCAATATAAAAACAACCAATAAGAAAAATGAATCCTATTGAAAATGTTTCTGATTGGCTGAGACAGCAACATTTTAAATGCTGCGAGGCAAAGAAAGCCAAGAATCCTGTTTTCAGACATGAGGACATCAGCAGACAGTAGAAGTCTTACTTTGTACAGAGCTGTTCTGACTGGCTGTCTGCAGTCCAGCTCTGGCTCTGGATCTTTCTCCACATTGGGGACAGGAGGAGTGTCCTGATGAAGCAGACTGGTCCCAGTATGAGGCGATGCACCGTCTGCAGAACCAGTGTCTGTACTCACAGAGAGGGAGAAATTGAAATTTAACAATACATTTATTAGAAAAGGTTACAAAACTACAACAACATTCATTAAAGATTCACAGAATCCAAATTATCTCAGTACACTTCCAAAAAGCAGTTCATCATCTACACCCCAACAAAGAACATTCTTGTAACACCACATACTGGAAAAACTTTCCAGATCCTTCATCATTCGATAATAATTCAAATTTGTTTTAAATGGCTTTCAACATCTTTACAAACATGAGCACAGCATCATCATCCACAGTTTTCTTTTTCCTGCTCATATAAAACAGCCGAAAATAACTAACCCTAACCCCAAGATAAATATAAATATTAAATATTTTATAAAATATAAAAGCATTTAATTTTATTCTTTTGAGAGTACCTGTACCACAAAATTAACATATGTTTAGAAAAAACCTCCCCAAACAGTCCAAAAATATATTCCAACATTTCAAACAGTGGCAGCAATCGAGAACCCTCCATGAAACAATGAAAAACAGTCTCACGATTAGTGCAACATGGACCATCATGGCTAACATCAGAGTTAATGACAGAGACAAAAGCATTCACAGACACAATACCATGTAAAATCCTCCACTGCAGGTCAGCAGCTCATTTAATCAATGGTGGTCTATACAGCGCTCTCCGCTCAGGTCCAACACTATCACTAGTGAGCCCTCCATGGAGTGTCAGCTCTGCCATTTCATTTGTCCCTCTGCAAAATCTTAACAAAACTTTTACACATCAGTTTTCTGTTGACATCTTGGAAAGAAAACTCAGGGGAGATCTCACTTTTTAAAACCGGTCCTGTGCGGTTCTTAAAATCTGGGGAAATGTTCACTGAAGGGAAAACATCATTCTCATCAGGTTCAACAAAACCATCACAATACCGGTTCAACAAAGTCCGCTCACCGCCCGTGAGAGCTTCTCTCCATTTACTGAGCAACAGAGCGATAACACGAGTGGAATTCACCACTAGACAGGAGGCAAGAGGAGCTGCATAATCCAAGCCTGCTCCTGCAAGCTGAACTACATGTCCCAGAGTCACAACATTAGAGGGACAGAACCGCCTGACAAGAGTTGGCCCCACCTGACAGACTGCACTGAACCGTGGTCCATGACTGACTGGTTCCTGAAGCAGCCAGTATAGTGAGCTGTGGTGTCCCAGCCTCTTCTTTACCAGCAAGCTCCACACCTTAAACAGTCCTCGATAGAAGACGGGAAGTTCTCTGATGTTAGGCTGCTTTAAGTCCATCAGAAACAAAGATTTGTTCAGTCCAAGTCCACCTAACTGAGTCAGGATAGTACAAACCAACGGCCTCCACACTAAATCAGTAGGACCGCACAGAAACCTCTGTAGGAACTGGAAACGGAAAGTAGCCCCCATGCTGCTGAGGTGGATCAGGCCTTCTCCTCCATCGTCCTTTGGCAAACACAGCACACTCTGAGGCCCCCAGTGTAGTTTGGCCCAGAAAAAGTCAAGAAGAAGAGCCTAGATATTTGACAGCAGGTCAGGTGGGGGGTCAACGCAAGACAGGCGATGCCACAAAGTGGACGAAACCAAATTATTATTAGTAATAAGGACTCTGTAGCACATCTTCATCAAAATCCACTTCCACCTTGTTAAACGACCTTTCAGCTTTTCTAGAACATTCTCCCAGTTTTTCAAGCCAAAGGACTGATCATCCAGAAAAAACCCTAAATATTTAAACCTTCCAATTTAACCCCCCAGGCAGGCTTTTTGTTTCTCCAGAGAGAACACACAGAGCTTCACTTTTATCCCAGTTAACTTTGGCAGAAGATAAAGAGCCAAACTGAACTACATCCCTCACCAACATGTCAATGTCCTGCTGAGTATCCACTAGGATGACCAGGTCATCTGCAGAGGCTGACAGCTTTAAGGGTGCATTACAATCTGGAATGGTCAATCCCTGAAGGTCACATCTAAGTTTATGCAACAAAGGCTCAAAAGCTAAAGAATATAACATGCCAGAGAGGGCACAACCCTCTAATTCCCCTTTGGACTTGAAAAGGAGCACTTAAGCACACTCTGAATGTCACAGTACAAAACATTAACTTTATCAATGAAACAGGACCAAAGTGAGCCATAAATAGTCGTGCTCAACACGATCAAAGGCTTTTTCTTGATCAACAAATTATTCCAGCTTTGAGGCCAAACAACTTACAGATCTCTAAAAAGTCTTGAATCAAAACAATGTTATCAGAAATCAACCTGCAGGTGCACAGTAAGTCTGATCACAGTGAATCACTTTCTCCTTCACTTTGCTCAGCCTGGTTGCCAACGCCTTAGAGAGGAGTTTATAATCTGAGCAGAGCAGTGACACAGGTCTCCAGTTTTTGATAAACTGCAGGTCACCCTTCTTAGGCAGGAAAGTAAGGACCGCCTTTCTGCAGCTCAGTGGCAGACGCCCTCCAGCAAGACTGTCACTCAGTACTGCCAGCAGATCCTCCCCCACCACTGACCAGAAAGACTTACAGAAGTCTATTCCGGGAGCTTTCCCACTTTGCATGCTCTGCAGAGCTGCATAGAGATCATCAGAAGAAAGAGCTGCTTCCAGCTCTACGTTCCTCTGCTGCTCGACCTGAGGAAGACCAGTGTAGAAGCTCTGGGACACTGCCTGCTCCTCTCTGTGCTCACATTTAACCAGGTGGCTGTAAAAACTGACGGCATGTTTACAAATTGCTGTATGATCAGTCAGCACCTGCCCAGTGTCACCCTTTAAACTGTGAATGAACCTTTTCTGTCCATTCTTATGCTCCAGACCAAAGAAAAAGTGTGATGAACATCCATGTGGGCTACATTTTGGAAACAGGACCTAACGAAGGCCCCCTGAGCTGATGTAACGGGTGTGTGAAGGATCACTCACGAGATTACTTCTTTTTCACAATTTATTGGCTCCTGTAGAACACAATACACATTAATTGCCTTCTGGCTTCCTCTTACTGCACCTCTGCTTCCCTCAGCGGTGCAAAACGAGACTGCGTGAGCGTATTTAAAATACATTACTTTAACACATACAGGAGGCATTTTGCTCAGAGTGCACACTACTCAGAGAGCGATTAACACTTCTTAGCTTCAAGTCTCTGAGTGTGGCGTTGGTCTCCTGTGGCTTCAGCTAAGTCTCTGAGCTCCTCCACCTGAGACTCCAGAGCTGTAACTGAACTCATCAAGGCTTTTGTGACATTCTGAATGTACTGCTGACAGAATTGTCTTATCAGAACTTTTCCAAAATCCCACCATTGTTGTTGCAAATAAAATCAGATTTTGTGTTTTGGTGGTTTTTCCAAAAAAGACAAAAGTATCTTTAAAATGTTTATCTTCCAATAAAGCTGAGTTAAAATGCCAATAAGCACTACTGGCTTTTAAATGTACAGTGGGTACGGAAAGTATTCAGACCCCTTTAAATTTTTCACTCTTTGTTTCATTGCAGCCATTTTCCAAAAATCAAAAAAGTTCATTTTATTTCTCAGTAATGTACACTCAGCACCCCATCTTGACAGAAAAAAACAGAAATGTAGAAATTTTTGCAAATTTATTAAAAAAGAAAAACTGAAATATCACATGGTCATAAGTATTCAGACCCTTTGCCGTGACACTCATATTTAACTCAGGTGCTGTCTATTTCTTCTGATCATCCTTGAGATGGTTCTACACCTTCATTTGAGTCCAGCTGTGTTTGATTATACTGATTGGACTTGATTAGGAAAGCCACACACCTGTCTATATAAGACCTTACAGCTCACAGTGCATGTCAGAGCAAATGAGAATCATGAGGTCAAAGGAACTGCCTGAAGAGCTCAGAGACAGAATTGTGGCAAGGCACAGATCTGGCCAAGGTTACAAAAAAATTTCTGCTGCACTTAAGGTTCCTAAGAGCACAGTGGCCTCCATAATCCTCAAATGGAAGACGTTTGGGACGACCAGAACCCTTCCTAGAGCTGGCCGTCCGGCCAAACTGAGCCATCGGGGGAGAAGAGCCTTGGTGAGAGAGGTAAAGAAGAACCCAAAGGTCACTGTGGCTGAGCTCCAGAGATGCAGTCGGGAGATGGGAGAAAGTTGTAGTAAGTCAACCATCACTGCAGCAATCCACCAGTCGGGGCTTTATGGCAGAGCGGCCCGACGGAAGCCTCTCCTCAGTGCAAGACACATGAAAGCCCGCATGGAGTTTGCTAAAAAACACCTGAAGGACTCCAAGATGGTGATAAATAAGATCCTCTGGTCTGATGAGACCAAGATAGAACTTTTTGGCCTTAATTCTAAGCGGTATGTGTGGAGAAAACCAGGCACTGCTCATCACCTGTCCAATACAGTCTCAACAGTGAAGCATGGTGGTGGCAGCATCATGCTGTGGGGGTGTTTTTCAGCTGCAGGGACAGGACGACCGGTTGCAATCGAGGGAAAGATGAATGCGGCCAAGTACAGGGATATCCTGGACGAAAACCTTTTCCAGAGTGCTCTGGACCTCAGACTGGGCCGAAGGTTTACCTTCCAACAAGACAATGACCCTAAGCGCACCGCTAAAATAACGAAGGAGCGGCTTCACAACAACTCCGTGGCTGTTCTTGAATGGCCCAGCCAGAGCCCTGACTTAAACCCAATTGAGCATCTCTGGAGAGACCTGAAAATGGCTGTCCACCAACGTTTACCATCCAACCTGACAGAACTGGAGAGGATCTGCAAGGAGGAATGGCAGAGGATACCCAAATCCAGATGTGAAAAACTTCACATAACGACTCATGGCTGTATTAGATCAAAAGGGTGCTTCTACTAAATACTGAGCAAAGGGTCTGAATACTTATGACCATGTGATATTTCAGTTTTTCTTTTTTAATAAATTTGCAAAAATTTTTACATTTCTGTTTTTTTCTGTCAAGATGGGGTGCTGAGTGTACATTACTGAGAAATAAAATGAACTTTTTTGATTTTTGGAAAATGGCTGCAATGAAACAAAGAGTGAAAAATTTAAAGGGGTCTGAATACTTTCCGTACCCACTGTAAATGCTCCATACTTGTATAGCGCCTTTCTAGCTTTTACACTACATCTGCATTCACCAGTCAAACACATTCATACACTGAGCCTAAGTGCTCAAACGGAAACTAACATTTTACACTCATACACTGGCGGAATAGGTTCAGTATCTTGCCCAAGGACACTTCGACATGCAACCAGGGAGCCAGGATTGAACCGCCGACCTTCCGATTAACGGCCAACCCGCTCTACCTCCTGAGCCACAGCCGCCCCACACTTTATAAAAGACAGAAACTGTTAGTAAGTGATCAGAAAAACCAACAGGGCTGATCCAAAAACTTTTACATTAAATACATTAAACTGATGTTTAAAACGATCGAGCCTGGCCACAGACAGTAAGTTATCCTTAGCATGTGTCCAAGTGTCGCTGCTCGCCATGAAAACCTCTCCACACATCACACAGCTGCTGAGCTTCCATAAGCTGAATCAGGCGAGTGCAGGAAGCGACATGAGGCTCTGCATGGTTCCTGTCTAACCTGCTGTCCTCAGTACAGTTAAAATCTCTACCAATAAATAAATATTCCTCACTGCTACATTTCCCAATAACTTCATTCAATACATCTAGAAACACGACTCTCTCGACTCTAACAACTGGAGCACAGATAGTAATAAACACAGTTTTTACTTTCTCATACACTGCTCTTTATTTCAACAGAAGGCCTTCAATGACCTCTTCAGACTCCACGGACTGAGTAATAAAGTTTTTCCAAGCCCACAACTGTTACTAGTTTTATGAGTTAAGAAGGATTCACCAGCCCATTCTCTCCTCCAGTCAGCCTCATTATCAGCAGAACTGTGTGTCTCTTGTACAAAAATAACATCTAACGTTTTTAGAGATAACAGCTTGAAAAGAGAAGCCCTTTTCCCATCATCCCTTGCTCCATTTAAGTTCAAGCTGCCTATACGCATCTCCCCCATAACATACATAAAAAGTTGTAATACAGAAACCAAAGAACAAAACAAGAGAAAAAAAGAAAGATTCTGAACCTTATTCATCATCTTCTAACTGCTTTTTGACCTTTTGAACTAGTTTTTTAATACGGTAAGTTTCCTGGACAGTGAAAGCTTTCTCTCCCAGGACTCCAGGAGTTCTCAGAAAAGCCTTCACTGAATCAAGGAAGAGCTGCAAATCAGGAAACACTTTCTCCTGCAGAAAACTCTTAATACTTGTTAAAGAATAGCCGCTCTTCTTGTGAGTCAACGTCTGTGAGGAGGCCAGAGACTCCACATCACTCTCCTCATCACCTTCACTTTCACCTGACTGCTGACACTCTGAGGAGAAGCTTTCTTCACTTTACAAGCAGACTGACACTCTTTTTATTATCTTTAGACAAATCTTCATCCACCAGCATCTCACTTTCCTCCTCCAGAGAACATTCTGCCTCTCCTGCTTTAGTCTGTGTGTTAATGCTGTCAGTGTGTGACGGCTCACTGACCTCTACTACGACATCTTTAATAGCAGAACTTGAACAAGCTGCACCAGAACCGGCAGCACCGACGTCCCTGGTATCCAAACTAGAAACTCCCGGGCCGTCAGAAACTGACCCAGCAGAAACTAAAACATCAGCACACGAAACAGCAGTTCGCAAACCACCAGAAACTGAAACCTCAGCACCTGAACCATCAGGACCTGGAATAGCATCAACAGAACCAGCTGCCCCCTGATGCCCAGCCTGTTGTGTACCCCGTGTATTCCCCTCCTGTGAACTCTGAACTGTCCTCTTGTGTATTTCCTTCCTGTGAATTCTGTGTATGTTCATGCAGTCTCACTGTTATTAGCCTCAGCATATTGTTTTTGTGGACAGGAGCAGACAGTATGGCCCTCCACTCCACAGCCAAAGCACTTCATTCTCTCTGAAGAGGCATAAACAATGTAATCAAAGTTCAAAACCATAAAGTCCTGCCTTCTAAAGGAAACAACGTGTTTAAGATGCAGTGATTTACAGCCCAGAGGGATCGATTTAATTGGGGACATTAGCTGCCCGTACCTCGCCAGTTCTCTTTGTAAGATTTTGTTACTAATAAACGGAGGAACTTTGGACAAAATGATCTTTTTGGCCGGATTAACTAGAGGTACCACCTGAACGAAGGTGTCATCACCACACCTTGCTCGACAACCACGCTGACTTTATCAACACTAACAGCTGGACAAAGTTTGAGTGAGTGAGTGATTTTGATTTTCCATTATATTCCATTAAATCAAAACGTTATTTACAGAAGAGAGAGAGAGATGTGATTTTGTTGCTCATGAAGCCTAATGTTACTCTACAATCGGCAAACAGCAAAACATTAGGAGCAAACACTGAATGAGTTAGTAGCAGTTCTCTTACCTTGTGTCTGAGGGTCCAGGTTCAGGACTGAAGTCTGGAGGACGATCTTTGGACCAGTCACTCTTCATAGACAGACAGATGGATCCTGTGTCTGAGGGTCCAGGTTCAGGACTGAAGTCTGGAGGACGATCTTTGGACCAGTCACTCTTCATAGACAGACAGATGGATCCTGTGTCTGAGGGTCCAGGTTCAGGACTGAAGTATGGAGGACGATCTTTGGACCAGTCACTCTTCATAGACAGACAGATGGATCCTGTGTCTGAGGGTCCAGGTTCAGGACTGAAGTATGGAGGACGATCTTTGGACCAGTCACTCTTCATAGACAGACAGATGGATCCTGCAGACTCTGCTCTGTCCTCCTCTTCCATCTTCTGGACTTCAGTTCAGGTGTTCTTGTTGTTCCAGCACAGCTGGTGTGTTGTCTGTGTTCAGGATTAGATTCTGGTCTAAATGGTGACAGGTAGGAAATACAGCCAGTAAATCTGAAACTTGTTGTCCAGCTTTATATTGTACAGCCACAGTAACACGGTTCACTCACATTTCACATGCATTTACTGTCATCACTGTCCAACCTGCTCACACAGCCACACAGCTGTGACCATAGACCACGTATTACCCTTTACATGGTCTACACCTCTCCCTGCAGGTTTTAGTTTCTAGGCTCCGCCCCTGCTTCCAGCTGCTGGGCCTGTTTGCTAAATGAGTTCCACTGGCGTCTAATTTGGAGGAAAGAGCTGAATCGTAGGAAGATGGTTGATACAGCTGGTGGATCACGGGCTAATCTGAGCAGACAGTATCAGGCAGCCACAGCTGACCTATATGGCAAGCCACTAGTGCCATAAATCATCATTATTCTAACAGGTTTTGTGTAATAAACAGAGCAACAGTGACCTTCAAACTGCCAAGACTTCACTTTTTACGCTGCTCTGTGTCAATGTAAAAATGGCTTAATGTCTTAAATGATAATGATCTCCTTTGAGCAGTGCAGAAGAACAGACCAGTGCCAGTGTCCTTCTTACAGCACATCTGGGGTCCAAATCCTGATCAGGACGAACCTTTAGTAAGGGTCAGTGCGACTGTACCCAGCGTGCCCATACTGTAGCGAAGACTGACACGCTATTTGTTTGGGAAGCCTAAAGTAAAGCCCACCTCGGTAGTATTTTATCATCCTTACAATTCACTAAATGTCAAGAAAAATAGAAGTAACTATTACTATCTTAATCACTATTACTATTTATCAGTAAAGTTCTGTTCATAATTTTCTACTTACCTACTATCAATTATTTTTTCTATTCCTTAATACCTTGATATTCAAAGTGAGCAATGAAGTATTTCTGAATCTGAACTGATGAGCACGAGTAACCCCGGACTCACACAGGTGGCGTGTGCCACGCCGCGTTATGGCTGCACCACGCAGGGCCGCGCAGAGACCTTTGGAAGGGCAGGTGCTCAAAGTATAAAAGGGGCACATGGAACAAGGATTTAAAAAGGGCAGTTCTCAAAATATCAATACAGAATACCCAGGTCTTGCTTTAAAACACTGTGGGCTGACATGACTTACAGTTGCTGTTGAGGAGGTTGCTGCTGCTGTTCTTGTTGCTGCAGATGTTACTGGTGGTGATCTGTGTCTACAGATATTATAACAAACATAGGAAATATATTAGCTGATTAAACAAATGTGTCCATGACAAGATGTTGATTGCTGACAATGTTTGGAACTGGCTCACAGTGACTGACCTGCTGTAGTGCTGCAGCTGCTGCCAAGGCTGACTATGAGAGCTGCAGGGAGAGGAAAAAAATAAAAATAATCTGGGAAGGAAACAGTACTGGGAGAAAGGACTAGGTTGGCCAAGGCAGGGGTAAGTGTGAGACAAATCTACAGACAGGGGTGTGTGTGTGTGTGTGTGTCTATAGGCAATATGTTGATAATGATTTTATATATTGCATTGTGAATCTGAGATATATTTGGATTTTGATTGACTATATGTCTAATCATAAATAAACTAGATGTGCGTGTTCATTATGTTGGCCCATAATAACCATGACAGAGCAGCATTTACCTTCACATTAACCTTAAATACCGTTGTCTGAAATCTGCACTTTTTACTTTGATGTCAGGAACATTATTTATTTCTGACATTATTATATGTATTTCCAGTTATTGTGTTCATATAGTAGGTTTGCTGTTAAATCTATTAAAATACTATTCTGAATTAAACGCTAATTTTAAAAAGAGCTAATAAGAAGGCTATAAGGAATAAGTAGTAACCCGTTTTACCAATGTTGTAATAATTATTTTATGGCACATTACGTTTTTAATTAAGTTACTGAAATAATCCTAATTCAAGGAAAAGTTTTTAGTCAAATTACTCAAAAAAGACCACACTTCTCAATGCCAGTGAAACTTTTCTCCCTCAAACAGCAAGAACAAAGTGAACAGAGCACCTTTGTTCATCTCTGTGTACAAATCATGGGAAGGAGGGGGGCGTGGTCAGGTCCCCCTATCTAAGGGGTGTCCCCCCTCTTAAAAACCATCAAATAATATATACTTACAATGATAGTGTGAATGGTAAAACAATACAAATGCAAACAGAGCAATTAAAGTGCGTTGTTTAGAAACATTTTGAGTTCCCCCTCCCTTGCCTCACAGTGGTTTGGTCTACTGCTTGCTTTCCCCAAGGGGGTAAGCGCCATATGTGTGTGTGTGTGTGTATATATATATATACACACATATATACACACATACACACACATGTATCAGGTGTGTGGAAGTTATTCACGAGAGAAGACGACGCAATGCTCACTACACCTGCAGAGAAACACACAGGAAAAGACGCTGTGGATATTTAAAGCAGGGAGCAGGTAAAGACACAGTGAACACAGCTGTTGGTGACGATGTCATTGAGACCACGGCCTAAATTAGAATCGACAGGTCAGACCTTTTAAAAAAAAATAAAAAATCAGTAACTGGAATAAACTGTAATCAGTGCATCTCTTACTACAGCGATGATCCTGTGTGTGAACCGATATTACTAGGGATGAGGATCGTTAATTTTTATTGATACTCTTATTGAGACTGCTTAACGATCCGATTCTTCGATACCACTATTGATACTTCACTATTATTTAGTGATGGTTAGTAAGACCAGACCCAGCGGGCCTGAGGTAGGCCTGCAGGCTATGAGGAACATATTTAAAATGTGCGCATGCGATAACCTTATATATTGAGATGACACTTGCTTATCGCAAAACATATAAACATAAACATATATTGAAGTGTACATATTAACTGCCTGGTTGTTTTTAATATTTATTTAATATTTTAAATACAGCTAAATGTTGTTTCTAAAGCAGCAACATTAATGTTTACAACAGCAAAGTAACTCATTAACTTTATCAGACATCACAAGTAGTGATGACATCAGCCTGTTTCAGTCCCTCCTCCTCTCTCGCTGGCTGCAGGTAACGTTACAGGTAGAAGGAGGAGCGGCTGGTTTGTTTAGACTACAGACCAGTCTGTGCTCCAGACAGACAGCTTTCTATTTAGCTTGTTTTTAACATTTGGCTAATGCCAGGCTAGCGTTAGCTATAGTAGTATAGCCAGCAGTATATCACTAATGTGTAAGGTGATTTTGGGAACACTACCTTGTATCTGAGTGAAGTTACTGAATATTTCTGCAGAATGTGTTTTCGGTGTTGCACTTTGTAGACGGTCCCTGCGGCTGCACGTAGACACCAATGTTATTTGTGCCGCTCGTAGGTGAACATTTACTTGTAGCTTGTTGTCTAACGTTACTTAACTACGATTTGTGTTTTAAACACGTCTGCGTTTATGAGTTATTAATCCCGGAAGTTCGAATCTGTGAATATATTTCCAACTTTACCGAAGTCTGTGAATCAACGTGCACGAGAGCGACGAACAAACTACATTCAGAAGCAGATATCTACAGAAATATGCATTAGGTAGATAAGTGATCTGTGATCTGAACGGATTTCCTGGTTAGCAGCTCAGAGATCCTGAAGGCACAACTGCGACACATCTGAGACTATCAGCTGTTAATTCAGCCACCTGAGTCACACTGACTTCACTCTGATTTCTTTCCTCTACAGTCCACAGGGAGAAAACTGCCTCTGACAGGAAAAGAATGTAAATGTTGGATTAACACTCACTCTGCCTCAGCCTTCAGTTTTCCTCCTCCTGCTCTGTCCACTCAAAATGGAGTCTGAACTTCTTCTTCTTGTTTTATTTGATTGGCGGTTGGCAGCCAGCATTTAGGAGCATTACCGCCACCTACCGGACTGGAGTGTGGAACAGATTATGTGCAGACTAACATAAAAACCAAATAAACAAATAGAACAAAAAACAAACAAACAAAAAACTTGAAAACCTAAATCCTTTCCATTAATCCCGTTTCTTTCAGATATTTAATGAGATGCTTTGATATTCCTCATGCTTTATCCCCAAGGAGGTTCTCGACAGTGAACCTAAGCTCAGCTTTCTCTACAACTGCTGCTATTTTCCTCCTCGTCTCTACACTCAACCAGCACATGTTGAATGGTCTCTATACTATTACATTTTACACAGTGTCCAGTTGGGTGTTTACCTATTTTTTTAAAGTGAATGGTTAAGCCCTGTGTGTCCTATTCTTATGACGGTCTCTGTCTTCTGGCACCCACCCAGTTTTCTTCCCAGATCAACATGATTCTGTATACTGTAAAGATGTCTTCCACTTTCATTTAGTTCCCAGTATTCCTGCCACACTTTTTGCATTTTCTCTTTAATGATTGTTTTAGCTTCAGATTTACTTAGCAGAACTTGTATATCAACTGACTTTGATTTAAGTGCTTGTTTTGCCAGAATATCAGCGTCTTCATTTCCTTCTACCCCTACATGGGCAGGAACCCAAACAAAGCAGACAGTCCAGCCCTTATGATATAATCTACATAGAGAGCTATGAATACTAAATACCAGATCCAGCCTACAGGACTTAACAGATTTAATACTGGTGAGAGCTGCCCAGCTATCTGATGCAATGACCACCTTGCTTTCCTTATTTTCTTCTATCCACTGTAATGTAAATGTAAATGCTCCGTACTTGTATAGCGCCTTTCTAGTCAGTAATGCCATCAAAATGGCCATAAGCTCAACTGTATATACTGACAGATGATCTCTTTTTAATGCCTATTTTGTATGCTGGGATGTATATGGCAGCTCCTGTCCGTCCGGTCTCTGGATCTTTAGAGCCATCAGTAAAGACCATGCGGTTATCTCTATAGTGCTGCTCTATGTAACTTTGTGCTCTTCTTCCCGTGTGTGCTTGCTTGGATTTCTTTTTGATTATTTGCTGTATATGCAGGTCAATGGATGGATTTACAAAAAACCACGGAGGAAGATCTGAATATGGGACTGCTGGGATATATTTTATACTGCACAGGCCAAGACTTTCTGCTTTCGCATTTCCCACCCATCCAAAACTGAAACAGCTGCTCTTATTGTGTTCCCAACATTCTTCTAGGCTGGCTTTAGCAGGGTGAGAGCTACAGTGTCCCTGAAGATTAACCCAGTATGTTAGGATAAGAAGAACAAGAATTATGCTTAGTGGCTGTTCCCCCAATTCCACTTGCATGGCAGCCACTGGAGAGGTCTTAAATGCTCCACTGCATGTCCTTAACGCTTGTGCCTGTTCCACATCTAGTTTTTTAAGATGCCATTCTGCTGCTGACATATATGCTATACATCCATAATCTAGTGTAGATCTCATCAAGGTCTGATATATTTTAAGCAGTGATGTTGTAGTGGCCCACCAGTCCCTTCCTGAAAGACATCTTAAAAGGTTATTGATTTTTTTGCATTTGTCTTTGACCTTATCAGTGTGCTGTTTCCAGGTCAACTTTTCATCAAACAACACTCCCAACAGTCTGATAACTTTTACTTGTTCGAGGGTTTGATCATATAATTTTAAGGACACTTCTTTATGTCTCCTGGAAAAACATATCATTTGTGTCTTTGCACCCGACACCTTGAAACCCCAGTTATTTGCCCACTGTCCACCTCCACAATTGCTGCCTGTAATTTTTTCTGAATAAATTTCAAATTCCGTCCTCTTATCCATAGGGCCCCATCGTCTGCATACAAGGACTTCCCAATACTTCTTTCCACTTTTTCAAAAATATCATTGACCATGATGTTAAATAGTACTGGACTACACACACTGCCTTGTGGAGCACCATTTTCATCTTTATAGATTCTTGAATATTCTATGCCCACCCTGACCTCTATTGCCCTGCCAAATAAAACGTCCAACACACAGTCATACAGTCTACCACCTACACCTAATTTATTTAATTTGATAAGTAACCCTTCCTTCCATAACATATTGTATGCTTTTTCAATATCAAAAAAGACAGCTGCCACAATCTCTCCATTTGTCTGAGCTTTTTTGATTTCAGATTCCAAACATAAATAGAGTCCATTGTATTTCTCCCTTTCCGAAACCCACTTTGATGTGGTGAGTACAGATCTCTGCTTTCTAGAAAGAATGTTAATCTGTCTGTTATCAAATGTTCCATGGTTTTCCCCAACTGTGACGTGAGTGCTATTGGTCTATAACTTGTGGGGTCTGATGGATCTTTCCCAGGTTTTACTATTGGTACTATGATTGATTGTTTCCATGCTATTGGTATTTTGCCTGTTTCCCAAATCTGGTTAAATAATCTTAAAACTACAGAAAGTGCACTATTTTTCTAACCATTCCCCATTTATCAGCCAGTGATGTCTCTCTTCCAATCTTATTGCAGTAATCCCTCCAGTATGCACGTTTTGTTGCTCTTATAGTCTTCCGGACTATGGCCTGTGATCTTTTGTAATTAATTAATGTCTCTAGTGAATGATGTTTTTTAACTGCCTAAATGCCTTGTTTCTTCTTTTAATAGCTTTGCTACAATTTACATCCCACCATGGTCCATTCTTTTTCACTCTGCTCCCTGGTATCGTTTCCTCTGCTGCATTTATACTGACTCCCACCAACTTTTTATTACATTGGTCCCCATCTGAAAAATCTTCTCTGATTAAACTCACACTTATTTTTACATAATTTTTGAAATGTGTCCCAATCTGCTCCATCTAGTTTCCACCTTTTTATTCTTGAGTTTTCCTCATGATGTATCTCTACTCCAATCTTAACTATTATCGGGTAGTGATCACTACCTCCTGATGATGTATTTAACACCTCCCATGTGGTAATGCCTGCTACTCCCTGATATACTAATGTTAAGTCAATTGCACTTTCTGTATTTTGAACACTGTTAAATCTGGTGCCACTTCCATCATTCATGCAAACTAATCCCTTATCCACAATTAATTCCTCTATGATTAATCCATTAGTATCTGTCTTTTTACTTCCCCACAGTGTACTATGTGCATTAAAATCACCGCACCAGACCACTTTATCCCGTGTTTGCCCACCCACAGTATTCAATGTGTCTATATTTAATCTATTGCAAGGGTTATAATATCCAACAAAGGTTAAAATCAAGGGCAACTGGACTTGGTTGAAGATACTGGAAGACGTTTCGTCCCTCATCCAAAGGACTTCTTCAGTTCTGACTGACTGGCAGGGAAACTCAGCTATTTAACCTCAGTGGGGTCGTTGGCCAGGATCATCGATACCGCTGGTTCGTTAGTGTTCCTTGTTGCTGTGACAGTCGTTACGGTCGTTAAGACTACCTGTGGCCGAGACTGAACGACCATCGTTGGCATCTTCACCTGAGGCCAAGACTGAACGACCATCGTCGGTATCTTCACCTGAGGCCAAGACTGAACGACCATCGTTGGTATCTTCACCTGAGGCCAATAGGTTACGTTTGTTGAGTTTCCTGGGAAGTGATGAAAGGACAGCATTGTAAGTGGGGGATAAGTGGTGGCGTAGACCCCCTCCCCTGTTCAATGACGGCTTCTCCACCCTGGTGTAGATGCTTCCTTGACACCTCTTTCAAACCATCCATCTTCTCTGTCTAAAATGTGCAGCTGGTGGTCCTCAAACGAGTGTCCTCTGTCCTTCAGATGTAAGTAGACTGCAGAGTCTTGACCTGAGGAGTTGGCCCTTCTGTGTTGAGCCATGCGTTTGTGTAGTGGTTGTTTAGTCTCCCCAATATACAGGTCTGTGCATTCCTCACTGCATTGGACCGCATACACTAGATTGCTTTTCTTGTGTTTGGGTGTGCGGTCTTTGGGGTGGACCAGCATCTGTCTTAGTGTGTTCTTGGGTTTAAAAAACACAGGGATGTTGTGTTTGTTGAAAATCCTCCTGAGTTTCTCTGATACTCCAGACACGTATGGAATCACAATGTTGTTGCGTTTGACCTTCTTTTCCTCCCCTGTAGTTTTGTTCTTCTTGGATCTTGTGGCTGTTTTCACAAAGGTCCATTTAGGGTCCATTTAGGGAGTCCAGTTGCCCTTGATTTTAACCTTCGTTGGATAACTATGACCTGGATGACTGAGAATCTTCATAGACATCAAGGGTTATAATAATTAATTATTGTTAGTTCATCTCTTCCTGTCCAGCTTTCGACTACTATTGCTTTCCTACACTCATCAAACTAAACCTTGTCCCATTTAGCACAAACGTTGCTACCCCACCACCTTTTCCATTCACCCTATCATTCCTAATTGCTGTGTAACCCTAAACTACAAAGTCCCATTGTGGTTTTAGCCATGTTTCCTGTATGCATATAATATTGGGTTTATCTTGGAGGTTTAAGATAAAATGCTTAAATTCCTGTCCATTAGCAATCAGACTTCTTGCATTCCATTGCAGTATAGTTAGGATCATGAAGATCCACCACCCCATGACAGTGCTTGTGAGCTTGTTGTTCCTCCACTTAATTGTTAATTCTTAATTCCTCAACCTCCTCCCACACTAACCCCTTGATTCCCAAGTACTTTTCTGCTGCTTTAACTATTATTTAGATTTTTTCTGTTTTCTTCTCTGTTTGCACAGAGCAATTTACCACTTCAACCATAAACAAAACAAACTCATTTTTTCCCCACCATCATAGTGTCTTCCTTGATTTTGTCACATCCCTCACATGTTCTTGACTTTTTACATTCTGCACTAGCTTGTTTATTGTTTGGTCTGTCTGGTTGCCAACCTACTCTGTTGGTTGCTTCAGCGTATGTTATCCCTTCTGATGTTTTAATTCTCTGTATTTCTACAGCTCTTACTAGCCTCGCATCCCCTGTAGGCCGAGCTGTGTT